TTTTCATTTAATTCTTCATCCCAATCTAATTGAAGCTTCGATAATTTTTGAATTAATATGTTCGCTATAACAACTAACGGATTTATAATACTGAATATCTTCTGATAGATTAAATCTCCACATGATTAATTGGAAATCTCTTCTTTCTTCTGCTATTTCAATTTGTCTATACATCTGCTTGATGTCGGTGGTTATCATATATTTATACGTTCTGAATTTTATCAAAATCTCGAATGAATCGTCCTGAATTTTGGGCCCTTTCATCATCTTATCGTTTAATGAAAGGTTAGTACTGGTTTTGCATGACGCATCGAATACTAATCTTAATTAAGTGGAGCTACTTTCTTGTTTAATCACAAAATAATGCGGTAAGAAATAGTGTGGCTGCGAAATTTTCTTATCTTTTATTTTTGACATATGCCCAAGTTCAATATATTCTCTCATGAATGCTGAATACTGGTTTCTTAACCCTCTGTTTGATGAAAGTTTTCTTTCTTAATTGAGAAATCTTATTAAAGCAATATTTTTAGAGCCCCCCAATACGTTAAATGACCCTAAAATGGCAAATTAACTATAAATCTTCCATTTTCTGATCTATAAGTTGTAGGAGCAAAAAATTCCTCTCATTTTAATTCGGACTTTGTCAAAAGCGGTTTGACAAAATTTAAGTAATTCATCATTCAACTGGAGGTTTGACATATTTAAAAAACTTGATTCCTTTTCCGAAGTATTGCAATTTACGAAGTACTACCCCATCAAATACAGTGTCACATAGATTAGGCCTTAACTGCAACCTTTTATACTGAAATATTTCAGCAAACGTTTCTGCACCTAATAGAATATCGATATTTCGTGGCTCATTAAATTGTGGATCTGCCAATTTTATATGACTGAGAATATTTCATGTTTCAACATCGACAAATTTATGAGACACTATTCTTGTTATTTCCTTAATAACTAAACCTTCAACATTCATTTCAAATTCTTTATCCTTTGACTTAATGTTTATGTTTATTTGTCCTGTAGTAGGTATAAACTGTGTATCCGCAATGCCTTGTATATCTATTTTTCGATATTTCGTATCTAGTTTCAATTTTTCGTTGTAGTCGCTCTGATATTAAATTCACTTAAGATCCTGGATCCAATAATATACAACAATCTTTTTGTTTATCTGAACTACTGTTGCATTTGCTGTACCCAGAAAAACATAATTTTCTGATATCTCGTTCACTAACCCTAAATGAACATTAGATCTTTCAGTTTCTTTTTGTGTATGAGGACCTGCATTATTTCTTTCTGGCTTGTTTGTTATAACCTTTTCTGTATGCAACCAGGTGCTATGTTTCTGGTTACATTTTTTACATCCGACTAATGAACATGTTTTTACACTATGTCCGCTGCGTAAACAATTCAGACATAAATTTTTTTTCTAATGTGCTATTCTCTATCTTGAGGCGACATTTTAATAATTTTTTGACAACTAAACAATAAGTGTTCAAATGATGCATTTGTTTTTAGTGTGAAATGTGGTTACCTTCATTGTTGTATCAATCATTTAAAATTGTCCATGCCACTGCATAATTATTTTCTGTTACTGGCAGATATCTTATTAATTTTTCTGGTTTTTCAGTTAAATTTGATTTGAGACACCACATTTTTCAACTTTTTCTAACGACTGCATATCAATCAGTTGAATAAATAAAACCAAACGCGTGGTGATTGTAAAATTTCGGATTTGTGATTGTAGGCAGCTTGCTAATTGCGTTCGCTTTTATTGCTTGAGTAGCTTGGTTGACTATATTTATTGGTGGTACCGCTTCAAGCTCTTCTTTTAAGTTGATAACCATATTGTCAACTCTATACTCCAGTTCATCAATTTCTTCTGTTATTTCTTTTATTGAATCGGAAATTTCCATACTGTTTGAAATTTCACGATCATCTTCTTTTATTTCAAACCATTTTTTTTCAATTTGGTTAAGATTTTATGACATCTTTTAATTTTATTATGTACATCTTCTTGAGTTTAATTTTATTTTGTACATCATCGATACTTCTGGAAATGTCTTCTGTACTTTGTCTAACATCAACCTTTCTTATTTCTGAAATTTCGTCTTTTTTTTGTTGTCAAAGTCTTTTAAAACTTTGTATGTAACATAAACTTAGTGTTTGCGAACAAATATTGTGTGAAATATAGATAATTTTTCACAGTGCCATACTGTTCTCTTATCGTCCAATCGCCTAACTCGAACTCTTTCCATATTTGATCTATTTTAACAATTTTTTCTTCCACTAATCTTAAGGTTTTGCGTTCTTCTGCCAACTCATCGTATGATGTTTTCAATCTCTTGAGTTACTTTGATCTCTCCACCTGTTCTTCCACTAGCTTATCCATCTTAGATTTCCTGATTTCGGATGTGCCTTGATTGTTACTGATACGAATGTGTATTCGTCAGCTGCTTGCTATAATGATTGCGTATGATTTGAAGTTTGACCACTCCTATGATCACGATAAGTTAACCAAACTGATGCTATTTCAAGTCGAGGTCACCAAAATGTATAGTCCTCGTTATTTCCTTGCAATTAAGGAAATGGAACTTAACTATACTTCATAAAATTGGCTTCGTAATAACCCTTTTGTTTATTACGTTTTGCTTTAGCCTTTGTTAAAATACTACAACACGATAGGGTAGACCTGGATTACTACACGCCTACCCCTCAGTATTGTATTCAGTATTTTAACGACAAAATTGATTAAAATCAAAGCAGAAAATAAAAAAACTTATTTAATTTGACTTTCTTCCTCTGCTTTTTAACCTTAATAATTTTATTATACAAAAAGTTCTTCTTTATATAATCAAGTTCTTAAAATATTATCCCTACTTAAAATTAACTAATTTACAACACAAACTGATAATTTACTACATGATTGTTAGTTGTAAAAATTCCTATTAATCATAAACACATAAAATTATCAATGTTCAGCATTTTATTGCCGCCTACTTTACACAAAAATAACTTGTAAAAGCAACAAAAAGAAAACAAGGAAGAAGATTATGAAAATACTTCTTCAAAAATACAAGAAGTAGAAATTCACACCATGTATTTTTGTATGACAACAATTTAAATTTGAATAGTTATTTAAGTTTCAGTTTAAATGTTATGGTAAAAATGTATTTTCAGTTTGAATATTATGCATAAAAAATAAAATGCTTATAAATACAGCAATCCCTCCTATAACGTAACCTCTTACTATATAATTTCGATATAAGTATGTAAATTTTATTTTTCCTACCTATTTTCACTTAATGTAATTTTTACCTCGTTTTACGTAATTTTAAAATAATTTAATATGCAACAATCTATTTTTTTTTTCATTTAAATTTCTTTCTTTACCAACAGACAACTAAAATTTTAGGCAAATATCAAGTACATACATACATATGTATGTACATACATATTAGTCATATTAGTTTAGTTGGACCTCCTATAATGTAATTTCACTTAACGTAAAAAATTTTTCGGTCCCAAAAATTACGTTATAGGAGGGATTGCTGTATTTATTTTTATTATTTACGAATATCAATTTAACAATCATGAAATATTTTATTGCGGTACATATAAATTTATTTCTTTTATTTGGTTTCTTTTTGACTTTATCTTTTGAACAATTTTAAATTTACAGTAAAATTGACAATATATTATTTGATCTACATTATAATTTTAAAATTTATACTTAAACACTAGGCTTGATATGTCTATTATAGGTATATGTCGATGAATATATGTATGTACATATTACGTATACATTTTATTGTGAAAAACTAACTACAGCTACTACTCACATTCTGCTAGGAGGCTTTGCAAGGCAATATTTGTAGGCTATTATCGAATAAAAAGATATTTATTGTAGAATACGATGAAAGCGATGATGCATTCTTTCAACTATATATATTTGTATGTACATACTTGCATACATACAAGACATTAAAAAATTTCCGATTGTATTTTAAAATTGAAAAGAGAGGCTTCGGATTGTTAGTATTCACATTTGAAAATGCATATATGCATGAATTATATATTAAAATGAATTTATGTGAAAAACTTAAAATCTCACGATAGAATTTGTTAAAGTGATTATACATAAAGTAATGATATACATATATACATATGTATTCACTTTCTAAAAACCTTTGATTTTTTTTACACTTCCTAGCTAAAGTAATAAGATTTCATATGTAAGGAAAAGACAAGATATCGTAACCAAACAAGTGTTGCTCGAAACAAGACGAATACTAAACTTTTTGCTTTATTTTTAGTTTGTTCAAACAACATTATAAAGAATTACCTTCTCTGTTATATTTATTTATTTATTATATTATATTATAGCCACTTTTATGAAAAAAAAAAACCCCAATTATATCTCAGAAACACGAACTTTAACAGATATGATTCAAAAAAGGTATTCGAGGATTTTGCTAAAGAATATAACAATATATATTTAAATATTACAAAAAAAGTTTAAAAAGTGATGCAACTTTTTGATTTTTTGTTTTCTCATTATTTTTCTTGCAATCATTCGCTTGCAATATCATACCTTTTCCTTACATATTATAGAAATCTTATTATCATCTTCTTCTTGAAACTTATGGAAATATACATAATGTAAATTTTGAGAGGTTTAGCAAAAAAAAATCACCAGTTTTTGCAAAATGAATATACATACTTATTTTGGATACATACTTTACTATATTGCATCAAATTTAATTTTTCAATCAATATAAAATTTTATTCCTAATGCCCATATCATGAATAAATAAAAATTTCATTTGTTTATGATTATACTTTTCAAATTTTCAAATTTTGAAAAATTCTATGATGAGAATAGAAAAACATCATTTATTCGCTTCACGCAATAAGTCTAACAGAATGTGGGTCCATTTTAATTCCTATTACTTAGATACATACATAAATAATACACTTGTTTTCTGAAATAAATTCAGTGGGCTGAACTTCTTGGATCTCGATTAGAAGAATTACTATTTGAAGAAAAATTACATTTTGAAAACATTAACAACAGTATAAATGATTTAGATAAGCAAAAGGATCTTTTGCAACAAGACGAGGAGGAAGATTATTTAGACGAATGTAACTTTATTTTAAGTTTTCAATTTTTGAATAAATCCATTTAAATTATTTTAACTTTAGCGAGCGTTAATTCAAAAGGTAATGATTGCCCACATGCTTTGAAATTAATAGCATGTGTTCTCCTTTTTGAAATAACAACCTTTTTAAGAGAAACTTATCAAACGTTACCCAAAGCTTCAAAACACTTTCAAAAAGAAAAACCGGTTCCTCCGTGGGAAAAAGTTTATAGAGAAGCAAATAGAAGATGGTCGATGGCATTGAGTTCAATGGGTCATTCCCAAACATCAGCTCAAAGTTTACAATCTATTGCTGGAGGTGATGGAAGTAAATTAATATTTTAAAATTTATCTTAGAATCTTAATATTAATTCATAAAATCAAGTGCTATATATATTTTTGGAATTTAAGGTTTTATTCCTGTAACAGGCGCTCAGACTGAGAGAAAAATATCTTTTGTTTTACATGAACCTGACAATGAGTCGGAAAATAGCAGTAATACAACGGTAACAATACAAGGAGAGGATGGTAAATATATGAACAGTTTAAGAAGAGACACATACATATATGCATATATTTTGAATTTAACTTATTTTCTGTTAAAATTTATTTTATGTACAATTCTATATATGTAATTGTATGCGCAGCTATGCCAAGGAGACCCGTGACAGTCAGGCCATTTTTATTAAGACGCGGAACCGCTGTTGGACAAACCACAGGTGGCTCTTTCAAAAGACGGTCTCTTAAACTGCGACGTGGTACAAAAGATGGGAAAGATTTAGAAGCTGATTGTGAGTTCTTAAAAAAATCGTACAATTTCATATATTATGTAACAACATACATACATAAGTTCAAATTCAAAATTTCAACACATGGATAGTTGGTTATTTATATTACAAATTCTATTAAAAATTAATTTACAATAATTTTTCACTTTTCTGACTTGATTCCTTCTTCATGCATCTGTCCTCAATTATTTGGAAAAATTTTCTTTATTAATTTTCATTATGATAAATCTGATTTTGTTTTTTAGTTAAAAGAGCAGACTCAATTCAATCAAGAAGAAAGGTGTCATCTCTCTCAGATCGAAGCGATACTTCAGAAGCAGGCGTTGTGAGTGGGGGTGAGGAATCTCCAGGAATTTTAAGGTATTAAAAATAATATGCCAAAATTTGTACATTATGTACTTATAAATCTATTTCGGCACATTTTTGTCAAAAACAAATAGTGATGATCAGCCCCCGGAATCGCCCACTGACTCGAATGAAACGGACGAGACCGCTAAAAATATGCCTTGGATGAAAGCAGTAGTGGATTTAGTAAATTCGTATAATTTTTATTGCACACATAGAGGTTATTGTCATCCATATTGTTACAAAAGGCATATGAGGGCATCTTGTCGTTTAATAAAGGCTGTACGAAAGGTATTTATCAACTCGTTTTAACAATTTGATTTTGTCATACTATAAATATGTTTACTGTTCCTGCAAGGTCTATGGCGAAACATTCGGATTTTCAGCCTATACTGACGATCATTACACCGGAAATTCAAATGCAGTGAAAATACAACCGAAATTAAAATCGTATCGAAAGGTGTCTGAACAAAGTTCGACACAAAACTCTCCAAAAAGAAAAGATAGTATTCCTAAAAAGGATAGGTAAAAACACGTCTTTAATTATAATAAAATAACCCGAAGTTAGAGCAGCCTATGTATTTATATAACAACTTTAGAATAATTGAAGGTCAAGAAATAGCTGGAAAACTAACCCAAGTCCTAAAAAATGAAATAGAACAAAAAAGGCAAGATGTCTCCCCTATGCTGAAATTCATAAAAAATCGGGTCAGAGATTTGTTTCATTATCCGTTTTCAGTGTTAGTTAAAGGTGCCGTAGTTTTAAGTGAAGATACTGTGATTGAGGCACTTCCTGCAGCTTGGGAACTTCTTCTGGAATCTAGTCAGGTTAGGTTATTCTCCTTTCTAAATTTGGAAATTGTAATACTGAATAATATTTGATAAATGCATATAGGAAACAGCTGCACTAGCTGCATCATTTTTCATAATTGGTTCAATTAAGGCACCAACTTTTGCTTCAGATATAATGCAAAGATCACTGAAAAACAAAGATCCAAATATAAGAATTGGAGCCATACTAAGGTAATATATATTTCTATTTAATTTGATATTTTATTAATAATGTGACTTTGAAGGTATCAAGTGCTGTGGAAATCACGTTTTCAAGTTTGGCCTCGTATGGAAGAAGGGGCTCACATATCATTTAAAGTACCACCTCCTGGGATTGAATTTACTTTACCATCACCAAAAATCGGTATCGAAAGCTTACCAGTGGTTGACCCACCTTGGAGTCCACTTACGCAAGTTAAGGACATGGAAGTAACTTTGAATCAAGAACGTCATGTAAGAAGGTGTCTATTAAGTTTTTTTTGCATTTCTAAAACACAAGAAAATTTATTTTCAGAGAGCTTTAGTAACTGCAACAAAAACACGTAAAAAGCAACAAACAGAAGCAATACGTCATGCAATTCAGCAAAAAGAAGATAAACAGAAATCGGAAAGACAGAGCTTTCTGCTGACAACAATTCCTATAAATCAACAAGCATCCCATGAACCAGGTTTGGATCATCAACCAGGTGAAGATCATGTCGAAGGAGAAGAAGATACAGAAGGAACTCGAGTTGCACCTCACTTACATGCTGCTCATTCACTTTTTCCATCTGTTTTATGCTCGTCTGTTATGCAAATAGTCGCTTGCTTAGATGATGCGGCCGTAGGTTCTGATGGTAATGCCGTTTGCGAGATAGCATATCAAGTATAGTAGTTTAAAATAAACATTTGATAACATTATTTTGACTGTTGATTGATATTCAAGGTTATATGGATATGTTTAGTAGAGGATTCAGCTCTTTTCCTTAGATATGTGCTTGAACGTTTGACACGCGATCGCCAAGATCAAATGTTCAAGTTGCTTAGACATTTAATCAGATTTGTTCCGAGATTACCACAGCAAGCTGCATTTGCTTTGTACAATTATATTATTGGATATGTAATGTTTTATGTAAGATCATCCCATGAACATGCCCAAGAGCTGGTGGGCTCCGCGCTTTCTATTCTTTGGATGGTTGTTCATAGTGTACATGGAATTATGTTTAAAGATTTAAAACAAATCTTACGAAAAGAACAATGCGATGCATCAATTTTATTGACGGCCAATGTCCCAGCAGCAAAAAAAATTATAGTGCATGGACCGTTCGAAGATGATGGACATATACCGTCACAATTTCCTGTGCAAGAAGATACCTTGTTCGGGCAATTACTGAAAGAAGCATTGGATTTTTATCCAATTGAAGAAAAAAATTATCTTAATTATTGTCTTGTTGACTACAAAACTCGTGAGTTAAAACATAATATTTTTCAACAAAACTTATGTACTACAATTTTAAATTACATTTTTTTAGAACGAGTATTAAACCCCAACTACCATATAAGGGATCTATATTTTTTCAAACGATCGCAATATCCACAAGTACGTCTAATACAAATGAAGTCTGAGGAAACATTTTTAGCTTTACAAAAACAAGAACTTATTCGCAAGTTTGTTGAAATTGGTAAAGTTCATCTAACATGGGCTATTTTAAAAAATGTTGACATGGTAGTTCAGCGAGTTGTATTTTTACATGAAGAGCTAATGAAATTACCTGCATTTCCAAGAAAAGCTTTGGAAGCAGATTTAGATTTGTTTAAAGGTGGTGAATTCGGTAAAGAATTACTTGGCTTGGACGTTTTGCACAAATTTATGTGGGTAAGATTAATTGCTAGAATGTTCGAAGCTATGGCTGGAAATTTCGCATACTCAGCTGATATTCAATTATTTTTAAATGTTTTATCGGGAGCTGCAATTTTGCATTCTGAAGATTCTTGTATAATGAGATATGTTATGGCTACATTTATTAATGCTGCTTTTAATTTCAAAAATATTTTTTCTACCAATGGGTAAGTTGGGAATTGAAATAATATCATTTGTACTAGAAAAAAACCTATTTTTTTTACACCAGCTATTTTATGATAATGCCAACCTTATTGCAAGTTTATTCTCTCCATCAGACTAACAAACTAATTACAACTACGATTGAGTACGCTGTTAAACAATTTTATTTACTTAATCGAAAACCGTTTATATTGCAAATGTTTGGATCCGTATCAGCTATCCTAGATACGGATGAAGAAGGTACATATGGAGAAGCGCACAAGGTCTGCTAAATATCTCTGTTTAGTGAAATTTAAAAATTGCAATACAACAAACTTTTAGGTGCAATCAAGTTGTCTTTTTAACTTATTACTTAGTTTGGAAGATCCATCTCCAGACCCCTTGAATATAGCCGAGCTGGTTAAAGAACCCAAACCATTAAAAGCTATCGATTTCTGCTACCATGATGAAGATGGCGATGTCACTGTTCTTGATTGTATAACGCTATGCGTGATGGTCGTTTCTTACTCAGCAGAGAGTACAAGAGGCTATCAGATGCTAGTACAAAAATATCAGGAACTTAATTTATAATAATTTATATAAACTACTTTCCAGATAATTTTGGAGGCTATTTTACCTTGTTATTTGCAACAAATTCAATCACCTCACTACATTCACCTTCATGGAAAATCAGAACGTGAAATTATACTTCAATTAGCTGTGGCAATCCGTACAATGACCCACAATTGTGAAGGACTAGCAAAGAGCTACAATGGTCCATTTAGAAACAGTCCAGAGCACAAAGGTTCAAGTCAAAGAAATTGTAGTCGCGGGCCACCATGCTCCCCAGGATTGGAGTTCGAAGATGAATCACATTCCAAATACGTTACAGATACTAGAAACAAAAATTTGTTAGACTCTGCTGAAGATTCTGAAGTTGTGCGAACTGAATACAGACGACCGAGAGATGTTTTGCTATCAGTTGTGGGCGATTTTTTAAGTAAAGCATCAACTCGACTCTCAGAATTATCCAAAAAACAGGGAAATGATGGAAAACCAGTGGAGTTACTAGACTTGAAATGCCATATTAGATTAGCTGATATTGCTCATTCATTGTTGAAAGTTTCACCATACGATCCTGAATCTATGGCATGTAGAGGTCTACAAAGGTATATGCAATGCATTTTGCCAAGAGCCGAATGGTCAAATGATGGTTTGCGTAATGCTATGGTTACAATATTACGGCGATTAGACAAAGTTTTCTTAAAAATATCAAAAAAGCCATCAATAAGACGTAATACAGACTGGGAAGCTGCAGCTGGTCTTTTGAAAGGAGTTCATGAAACTATAGTCCGACATCCATACGTTTTACATTGGGCACAAATAAAAAGTCTGCTAAATACTGTACAAAATTTAATAGTTAATGAACCTGGATCTGCAGAGCCTGGAGTATCCAGCGCGGGAGCTGCATTAATGTCACAAAGTCCTCCAGCATTTTTCTGTTCAACTGTTGTTAGATTAGTAGCTTTACAAGTTGTAAGTCCGGTTGATTGTTTTACGTTGGAACAAATATGCGGCGGAAGTAGTGAGTTCGCCACTCAAGAAAAAGCAGAAGGATTTTTAATGCATTTGTTAATGCCTTTGTGTTTAAAAGTTTGCTCAGGTCGAGGTGTACTAGACATCGGCGAATTAAAACAACATGATATCAATTATTTAGTAACAGCAGTTTTAAATGCAATGAGCCCCCCGGCTGGTAGAACGGGACAAGTTATACAAATAAATCGAGCAACAGGCGATTTAAGAGCTGGGTCACTAACTTTTACTGGTAGCAGGGACGCAAAAAGACCTGCTCGTATAGCTGGTTCTTTATATCAAGCAGCTTTTCTTGGTAAAAGATTAATGCTTATTATTAATTGACAATATTTTTCATTAATTTATATTTTTAGCACTAAAAATTGTATGCATATGCTTTGAGACTAGATTGAGTAATGAATGGCCTAGAATTGTTCGTGTGATGAGAGACTTAGGTAGACGAAATGAAGCTGCTCCAGATTTATGGAGTTTTTTGGAATTCGTAGTCACCCATAGAACTCCTCTTTATATTGTTCTAATGCCTTTTATATTGCACAAAGTAAAGTATTTTAAAACACTATTTTAAATTACGTATTGTGACATATTTTGCTTTAGATCGCACAACCTCCAATTGGAGATCACGAAAGAAGTATGCAATTTGTCATTAGAGAAAGATTGAGTGGATGTTCACCCCCGGGTGGAGTGAAGTCTAAAGGCGCCCTTTTGTTAGAATTAGCCCGCGAGTTACGGGATTTGCGAGAAGAATTGGAAGAAAAAAGATATGGTGCCTTTAATATTTTTAAATTTTGTTTTTTATCACAGTTATAAACAATTCATTTCTATAGAGCCAAATCGTCGTGATACGACAGTTATACCGCAACCAACAGATGCACAAAAGCACCAACAACAACGACCATCGCTTATATCAATTTTTACAGGCCAACAACCACATTCTCACATTTCAGCTGCTCCAATAGATTCGCGTAGTGGATCTGGTGGAATTTGTACCCCAAGTGATACTTTATCACAACAAACATTACATCCACCACGTGAATCGTCTTCAAGCGGTTCCGGTGGCGTAAGAGAACACTTGTCTAGTGAAACTCATAGTGTGGAAGCAACCACCCAATATCATATGGACAGCAGCCAAACATTAGGTGGAAGTCAGGGAACTGGCAGCATTAGTGGCGTACCCAGCGATGGTTTGCATTCTCAGCACATAAGTAGTCGTCATGGACCTACTGCAGGGTCTATGCCACATTTGTCGCATTCACAGTCCTTACAACAGAGTCACAGTTATAAAGTGCAACCACCAAAACTGAGGTTTGTTTCTTCAGTTGAGTTTAAGCATTCATCAGGTGAAACTTCCACAACACCACTTTCGCCAGAAAGCCCTGCCGAAGACAGCTCGGGCGAGCATTCACGCCCACGATTACAAAGATCAAACAAAGCTTCAAGTCGGAAGACGTTTAGAATGAAAAGAGGTCGACACACTCAAATAGATGTAACCTTTATATTTATACTTAGAAAATTAAATTATTAAATTTGTCTTCGAATTTTAGGTAATAAACCATTCAGTTGACCACCCGCCTCCTGTAGAGAGGCCAAACCCGCTAGCTGAAATATCGTGGGATTCTGTATCTCAGACATCGTCAACCTCTGGTTATCGTGAAAATAATAGCTTGCAAACAGGTCTTTTATCTCCAGATGGCTCTTTGGGCGGTTTAACATTAGGTCGCTCGCCTTCGCAGCATTCTTTGTTAATGTTATTTGAAGCTCAAGACGAAGACACTTTGATTTAGATCAAATTTAAACTCAAGCGGCTTATTCCTAATGGAAGCTTTATTCTATCTTCTTTTTTGCTCATCAGATGAAACTTAGTAAATATCAATTCCGCTATACAGAAATGAATTCTGTTTCTGTACATACATATATAAATTTTAAAATGGAAGAACATTTTTTATTACATACCGTGACTTCAATAATGTTATAAAAAGTTTAAATACGGGATTAATACGCCTACAATTTCAGTAATACAATTTTTACAATATTGAAACATACTTTGACGTTTGTTTGAAAATTTCAATTTAATGTTCTGTGCAAATGTTAATTTTCAACAAACGTTACCACATCTTTAAAAACATAGCATTTTTATGCTGCAATTTAGGAAAAAAACTAATTTTAGCAAAAAATTTTTTTTCCGAAATATAATTCTTTTTTTTTTTTTTATTGGTATGAAAAGAAAACTTCCTTTTATTTGGAATAAAATACTTTATTTTATTTTTTGCTAATATATTTCGTGCGCTACATACGCACTTTATCAAAGCTGATTTTCTTCTCTAGAGAAATAATAAAGTATTTTATTTTCATACCAATAAAAAAAAAAATAATAATTTTAGCACTTTATTGCTGAAAATAAATGCTACTTTATTTAAATGGTTATTTCTGGCAACATTTATATGACATGTATAAGAAAAGCGTGCTCAATTTGTTCGATACCCAATTTACTTTTATTTTATGTATCCACTATGTATAGAACGCATTTTGGAAAAGTGTACAACGTCAAGAGCTTTTATTAAACATTTTGGAATGTGATACTTTGTAAAGTTTACGTCGTAAGCACATTATTGAAGTTACGGACACATACACATGCACATACACATACCTCCCTTTTTTTAACAATGCTAGTGGATAGAATGAGGCAAAGTGGCGGTTAATTCTTAATTTACGCCCCCTCGATATACGACATTTCGATTTACGCTCTTTTAATTTTTAATACCGTAAATTAGTGTTATATAAATGTTAATAATGTAAATTAATATTACATAACGTCGTTTCCCTCGTTTTAAACTTTTTTCCGAAGTAAATTTCTACTAAAATTTTTTTCTTCATTTTGACAATTAAATTTTTTGTCTGACCTTGGAAATCGATTTTTTTAATCCCATCGATTTTTTATTTTATGTACCTAGTCTATTATGTACAAGAAAATTTTGCTGAAAATTTTTTCGTTATTCGTTCACTAGTTGACAGTAAAGCAGTATTTCCCTTTTTTTGCGGCAATACATTTACATGTTAAAACTATAGAACTTTTTTATTTTGAAAATCTACTTTCCGAATAATTTATCAAAATTTAACCAAAAATTAATCAATGTACAGAAAAGTTCATATATTTACCGTAAGTTTTTGACTTTCTTCAAGCTATATTTGTTGCTAATTTTAAAAATGAAATAATTAATTAAACGAAACAAATAAATTCATCAACTATTGCATTTGTGATTTATTTATAATTAAGTCTTATGAAATATAAAAAAATACCTATATTACGTATGTATATTTGAACACAAAAAAAAAATATTAAAAAACTTTTTAAAAAGAAGAATAAATGTAATAAATATTTGTCAAAGTTCCATTTAAGGAAATATAAATTATTTAAATAAAAATAAAGTTGATTTATTATTTTTTTTTGGGTTTAACTATAGTGCTCCTTGAGCATAATTCACATTTTTTGTAACAAAAAACAATTTTTTGCCAGCGAAGAGGGGCACTATAATTTTGTATTTTCGTTCTTGTGAAATCGTAAAAAGTAAGAAATGACAGTCTGGAAAAATTTAGGATCTTAAAATAACTATGCTTCTTTTGTAATTTTCCTTCATTTTTTCCCCCATAATCCGCGACGATATTCTGGATGCTTAGCATTCCTATACCTGACCCCCTCCAAATTCTTTAGCCTTGTTTAGGTACATCGGATTTCTGCTTTGGTGGATATCTATTCTTCGCAGGAAGAATAGGTGGAAACAGAAATGGAGAAGCTAATTTTGTATAACATACAAAACCAATTCGGTACTCACCAAAAACCGAAAAATAATATGACTATGTCGATACCAAAACACACCGCTGAAAAATTTTTTAAAAAACTTTAACAACGATTTAATAAGAATTAAGGCAAGCAAAGATAAAAACAAGAAAAACAATATCAACTGAGATCTTAATGTCAAACAAAGGATATAAAACAATCATTATCTAATATTAAATAATTATAAAATTTATTATGCTAATAAAAAATAAGTTATGCTTATGAATTAGAAATTTTAAGTAATACATTAAAGAAAGAGAATATAAAAAGAGACAGAAAACAATGCAAAAAAAAAAAAATATATATATATATATATATATACATGCATTATATGTACATATATCCATATGTATTATATTGCTTTGCATCTGTCCATCCTTAATCCTATACTACCTTTTAAATTCGCCACTGGTAAGTTTTTTATCTCAGCTAGTAACACGTTGAATACAAGTAATTTGATGCCGGAGTTGTAAGTTGATTCTATTTCGTTTAAATTGAAATTTTGATGTGATCTTATATGTGTTTTCGTTGTGGTATTGTATTTGTTGAAGTCTTCGTTTTTGTCTAATTTTAAGCTAGTTTTATGCGCAAATTTTACAATATTATGCACATGCACTACTTGAATCATTTCTCTGTAATCTCTCAATTTTAGCATATTAAAGTTGCTGCATATTAGGTTAATGGGAGTTCTTTTATGCATTACGAATAGATTTTTTATCGATTTATTTTGGATTGTTTGAATGGTGTTCAAGTTGTTTTCATAAATATTCCCCCATATTGCTAGTTTGTATATAACAATGCTATTAAAGAGGCTACGAGGACCTATTTTCTTAAAAATTCCAGCAACTCTCCTTGCCTTAGTTATTACATCTATTACATGTACATTCCAATACAAATCTGCATTAAGTATTACTTCAAGTTAATCGGTTACTTTTTCAAATTTTTTGTTATTATGGTAGAGGGCATAGGGGGTTTCTTCGATTTTATCATCATATATTTTTTTTTAATTAATTTACCGCCAACTTATGTAAACTCACCAATTAATTATTTCTTCTAAATCTTTTTCAACTGCAAGTTCCAGGTTAATCTCGGTGTCACTGAAAACTACAACCAAATCATCCGCATATACATACATATGTAAGGTTTGCCGCTAAGTTTTATGTTTTGAAAGGTACTAATTTAACATGAGAATAGTTCTGGGACGAGAGAGCTACCCTGTATCACACCATAATTTATGTCACGTGTTTGACTTATAACAGAATCGCATTCAACGAAATTTTTTCTGTTACTTAGGTAGCTTCCAAACAAGCAGTACTCTTCACCTCTTACTTCATATTAAAATAATTTTCTTAGAAGAATGGATCTGTCCACCGAATCAGAAGCTTTTGACAAATCAAAAAATATTACACATACCTTCTTGTTTTCAGTCACAGCCCTCTGTGTCTCGGAAATTACATAAAATGCAGAATTTTTATTTAAATTCGTGGTAAAACCGTATTGGTGGCGATTCATAAGATTTTTATTTTAAAAGTATTTTATGAGCTACATCATTTTTCCACAGCTGTTGGCATAACTTTATTGACTTTTAAGGCACTGGGCATAATACGTTGGTGAACAGAATTATTTATAATGGTTGTATTTCGCTTTATTTATTGATCACGAGATATTTTAATTCCAACAAAGCTAATACCATCCTTCATGGTACTGTATGAGTACATCTATAGGTAGGCGAAAACCGTGCCGGAAAAGAGGCAGGTCGAATTGGAGGGCTAAGAAACGACAAAGATCCACACAAAGTCTACCGTCGGTAAAATCTGATGGACAATCTGACGGCAACTTCCGTCGATAACAAAAACTCTGACTAGCATCCCACATCTAGAGATTACGAATGACATTACAGCTACGTCAAACTCGTGATGTATGATTATTATTACGTATTACTATTACTATTATTATGATTATTGTGATTATTCTTCTTATTTTTCGTATTATTATTATAATTATTTATTATTATTGATATAATTAGTATTATTATTATCATTATTATTATTATTATTATTATTATTATTATTATTATTATTATTATTATTTTTATTATTATTATTATTATTATTATTATTATTACTATTATTATTATTATTATTATTATTATTATTATTATTATTATTATTATTATTATTATTATTATTATTATTATTATTATTATTATTATTATTATCATTATTATTATTATTATTATTATTATTATTATTATTATTATTATTATTATTATTATTATTATTATTATTATTATTATTATTATTATTATTATTATTATTATTATTATTATTATTATTATTATTATTATTATTATTATTATTATTATTATTATTATTATTATTATTATTATTATTATTATTATTATTATTATTATTATTATTATTATTATTATTATTATTATTATTATTATTATTATTATTATTATTATTATTATTATTATTATTATTATTATTATTATTATTATTATTATTATTATTATTATTATTATTATTATTATTATTATTATTATTATTATTATTATTATTATTATTATTATTATTATTATTATTATTATTATTATTATTATTATTATTATTATTATTATTATTATTATTATTATTATTATTATTATTATTATTATTATTATTATTATTATTATTATTATTATTATTATTATTATTATTATTATTATTATTATTATTATTATTATTATTATTATTATTATTATTATTATTATTATTATTATTATTATTATTATTATTATTATTATTATTATTATTATTATTATTATTATTATTATTATTATTATTATTATTATTATTATTATTATTATTATTATTATTATTATTATTATTATTATTATTATTATTATTATTATTATTATTATTATTATTATTATTATTATTATTATTATTATTATTATTATTATTATTATTATTATTATTATTATTATTATTATTATTATTATTATTATTATTATTATTATTATTATTATTATTATTATTATTATTATTATTATTATTATTATTATTATTATTATTATTATTATTATTATTATTATTATTATTATTATTATTATTATTATTATTATTATTATTATTATTATTATTATTATTATTATTATTATTATTATTATTATTATTATTATTATTATTATTATTATTATTATTATTATTATTATTATTATTATTATTATTATTATTATTATTATTATTATTATTATTATTATTATTATTATTATTATTATTATTATTATTATTATTATTATTATTATTATTATTATTATTATTATTATTATTATTATTATTATTATTATTATTATTATTATTATTATTATTATTATTATTATTATTATTATTATTATTATTATTATTATTATTATTATTATTATTATTATTATTATTATTATTATTATTATTATTATTATTATTATTATTATTATTATTATTATTATTATTATTATTATTATTATTATTATTATTATTATTATTATTATTATTATTATTATTATTATTATTATTATTATTATTATTATTATTATTATTATTATTATTATTATTATTATTATTATTATTATTATTATTATTATTATTATTATTATTATTATTATTATTATTATTATTATTATTATTATTATTATTATATTATTATTATTATTATTATTATTATTATTATTATTATTATTATTATTATTATTATTATTATTATTATTATTATTATTATTATTATTATTATTATTATTATTAATATTATT